GCACTCAACTTTGGCTGCACATTAGAATCCACTGGTGTTTTGTTTGTTTGTTTTTATTGATTTCAGAGAGGAAGGGAGAAGGAGAGAGAATCATTGATCAGCTGCCTCCTGCACATTGGGGATTAAGCCTGCAACCCATGTATGTGCGCTGACCGGGAATCGAACCATGACCTCCTGGTTCATAGGCTGACACTCAACCCCTGAGGCCCTTCGGGCCGGGCTCCACTGGTGCTTTTTTTAAAATTGAATTTATTGGGGTACAGGTTTCAAGTGTACAACAAAACATTTGTACACTGCTCATGCACCCATCTCCCCAAGCATAGTCTCTTCCTATCCCCATTTTTGCCCCCTTTGCCCACCTCTACCTACTCCCACTCCCTTTCCCTCTGGCTATCACCACACTGTTTTCTGTATCTTTTAGTATTCTTTGGTGGGTGACTTAATGTTTTCCCATGTCATGTAGCACTGTTAGTCGCATTTATTCTGTATCTTTTAGTGATACATATTTTTTTCTTTTTCCCCCCCCCCCCTTAATCCCTTCATCTTTTTTCATCTGGTCCCCCCAAACTCCCTCCCATCTGATAGCTACCAGTATGTTCCATTCCTCTGTTTCTATTTTGTCAGTTCATTTTATTAGATCCCACATATAAGTGAGATCATGTGGTATTTGTCTTTCTCTGACTGGGTTATTTTGCATAGCATAATAATATCCAGGTCCATTCATGCTGTGACAAAAGGTAAGATTTCCTTTCTTTTTCTGGCCAAGTAGTATTCCACTGTGTAAATGTACCATAGGTTTTTTATCTCCTCATCTACTGATGGGCACGTGGGCTATTTCCAGTTCTTGGCTATTGTAAATAATGCTGCAGTGAACATAGGGGTACATATAATCTTTCAAATTAATGTTTTAGATTTCTTTGGATATATTCCCAAAAGTGGGATCGTTGGGTCAAAAGTCAGTTCCATTTTTAATTGAGAAAACTTCATACTGTACCAGTCCGCATTCCCACCAACAGTGTACGAGGGTTCCCTTTTCTCCACGTTCTCACCAGCACTTGTTGTGTGTTGCTTTATTGATGATAGTCATTCGGACAGGAGTGAAATGATATCTAATTGTGGCTTTAATTTACATCTGTCTGATGATTAGTGATGTCGAGCAGTTTTATCATGTGTCTATTGGCCATCTCTGTATCCTCTTTGTAAAAGTATCTATTCAGGTCCTTTACCGATTTTTTAATTGGGTTGTTTGTCTTCCTGGTATTGAGTTGTATAAGTTCTGTATATGTTTTGGAAATTAACCCCTTATCAGATGTATCATTGGCAAATATGTTCTCCCATTCAGTGGATTCCCTTTTCAAAAATGTTGCTACCAGAGATATCTAGGATTTTTCTGCTGTGCAGAAGCTTTTTAGTTTGATGTAGTTTGTTTATTTTTTCTTTGTTTCCTTGCTCTAGGTAGGAGATATATCGGCAAAAATGTTGCTACCAGAGATATCTAGGATTTTTCTGATTTCATGGCTTACATTTAAGTCTTTTATCCATTTTGAGTTTATTCTTGTATTAGATTGTCTTAAGATCTAAGACTTTTCAAAGTAACAGCAGCTAAGTGTTGCTTTGTTCTGTACAATATTTGAGTAAGAGACTAACAAAAAGAATTTAACATTAATTTTTTTAGAAATAGCAATGGTAAAATAGCCTGGGGAAACTTAGCTAATTTACCTTTAATGCTGACTCTTGTGGCTGAAAGGGCAATGATATGAACATACGTTGTGATATTTATTAATACATTGCTTTTTATAAATTAGTCCCTTTTTTTTCTTAATTAGGTAGAAACAGAAAAGAAAGATGTTCTTGATTTTGGTGACTTGACTTATGGTGGCTGGAAAGCTCTCCCATTAAAATTGATAAATAAGACACATGCCATCGTGCCAATCAGACTTATTATTAATGCTGTAAGTACTAACATACAGTAAGAAACCGGTTTACAGAGCACATTGATTTTGAATTCTAGACACTGCTAATATTATTCTTTGTTAATTTTTCTTTCGTGAAAGTAAATTTTTAAAAATCTTTGTTGTTGAAAGTATTACAAATGTCCCCTTTTTTTCTCCCAGTGACCCCTTATAGTCCATGCCCACCCTCAAAAGTAAACTTTTTTGTTAAAGATTCTTTCAACAAGTTTAACGTTTTACCAACTTTGGCTTTATTGAAAATGATTCTTCTACTTCTGCACAGAATGCCATAGCCTGGCGTTGCTTCACGTTTTCCAAGGAACCCGCCTGTGCTTCGATGAGAGCTGCTCCTTATGCTGATGCGATTGCTCAGCTGGCAGCTCCTTCTGTGATCAATCACATGATGCCCGCCAGTTACGATGGACAGGTAAGCTAGGTGTTTTAGAATTAAAAGGGAAGTTAAGTTTCCAAACTACTTTTCTTTCATTAAGATTTTAATCTTAATGCCAGTATTCACTTAATTTTTAAATTTTATTTTGCAGGATCCTGAATTTTTTATAATCTGGGTTCTTTTCCATAGTCCAAAGAGACACATCACTTCTTCAGGTATCATTTTTACGTTTTGTCAGAATTCTTTTACTCTGTACCTGAATAAATTAAAAAGTTGAGGCTTATTTCCTTTATCAGTAAATATGAATACTTTGAGTAACTTGTCAAATATTTTATGTTGTTTTAAAAATGGGGCAGAGATCATGGTCTTTGGGGTTAAGTCCTTATAACTGTGGCTAACTCAAGTAAACTGAAAACTTTTTGGGATCTTTTCTGCTAATTGATTTGATCACATCTACCAATTGGATGTTTTCCTTTTCTTCTTTTTTTCCTCCAATTATTTTTATTTCTCTTTGTTCTTTAAAATTTACTTAAGATTTCTTATGACCCCTCAGGGCATAATGTTTGACCACTCATGGCATTTAGAATTAAATAACTCTGGTGTCTGAACTAACAGAATGAACTTTTATAGAGATTCTGGACTCAGCAGAAGAATTCTTGGCAAGAGTTGATATAGAAGTTGATAGCCCAAACCCTACGCCAGTCATTAAAAGTGTTGGTCTTCGAGCCAGAACAGGAATTGCTAGGATACATGCTCCAAAGGACTTACAGGTACCCAAAACTCTTTGCCATTATTTTATGTTCAGGTTGGTCTAATTGTAATTGTGACAATTTTTTAAAATGCCTGTTTTATCCCATCCTCTAGACTATGCATTTGTTTGCCAGTGTGGCTTCCTCAACAAAACAGCACTTACCCTTGAAAAATGCTGGGAATATTGACGTATACTTAGATATCAAGGTAAGAATTTGTGTCAGTGCTATGACATAGTATTTCCTCAGACTGTGAGACTGAAGGTGCTGTGCTACCTTCCTTGTCAGAGTGCCGTGGGATCAAATGAAAGAGTCTGCAAATGCTCTAAATGCTGGGTGTTGCACTAGGATAAAGTAGATGATAAGGACTTTATATAATGTTTTGAATATAAGAACCAAGTTTTTGATTAGTTACTGAAAAATGTGTGTTCTCCTTTCCCTAGGTAGAGTTGGAGAAATAGACATTATTTCTGAATCATGTGATTGAGTAAGAGGGTAGGGTTTTAGTGACCAGGAATTAAGAATAGGGTAGAAGATAAAGTTTGCTATGGGAGATGAAGGAGAAGGAAATATCCTTTCCAAGATAATAAGACACGGTGGGACAGTGATGGATGAGGAGAAAGGGAGAAATAACCTGTTTTGGTAAATGAGAAAGACACATAAGACAAAGAGAGTAAGTGAGTAAAAGCCATATTTGTATAAATCGTCATTTAGTTATAATTATATAAATATTTAGATCCCAGATCAAGGAAGTCACTTTTCAGTGGTTCCAGAGACTCTATTCCTTAAACCTGGAGAAGAACACGAAGTTCTTGTTTCATTTACTCCAACGGATCCCCAAACCGCTGAGGAAAGGTAATACATAATTGTTTATAATGAAAAGTTTTTACTCTTCTCAAGTTCCTACTCACTTAACTTGGCTATGCTTCAGTTCACAGCCTGAAGGATAGAATACACATTTTACCTCACCTATCAGATAATAGCTCTGTCTTACCTCTTTTATTTAACCTTAGAGTTTCTTCCTCTATTGCTAAAAAAAAATCTTCTTTTAAGCCTATTGACTAGAAATCTAAAAGTCCTATATCCAAGTATATTTTGTCAAAAGTAAATAATAGAATTTTAGTCTTGATGTTTCTCATTAACTTTTTTTTTCTCCTTCCAAGGAAACCATTGGTTGACCTTGTCTGTTGTTAGTTTAAAATACTTTTCTTCACCCCTTCTCAGTGCCTGCGACTTTTTAGCACCCAAACCATAAAGTGAATAACACCGTTGTTTTTAGTATTTGAATTGCTTGGTAAACCTAGTGCAGTACTTAGCATGTAGTCCTGAGACACATGACCCTCCCTGCCTGGGTTACTGAAGCCTTAGAGGGCTAGTCTGCTACTCTGGCCTGCAGCACTTGCCCCCAGCTTCACTGGGTTAACTCTTTCATCTCAGAAGCTTCCTCAACTCTTCCTAAAGTCCTTGTAAATAGTATTTAGTAGTGTCCCTATTTAGTTAGCCCCTTGACCACCTAGTAGATGGCATTGTGACAGTCTCTGTCCTTATCTAATGATGGGAAGGGCATTGTGTCCTTGGCACCCAGCTTAGTCTCATGGACAAAAAGAAACATGTAGGAAATAGTTGCCAAAAGAATTCTGGACATTTAACTTAATTGGTTTTCTTTGTCAGGATCTTGAAAATATTTGTGCAGCCATTTGGACCTCAGTATGAAGTAGTGTTAAAAGGTGAAGTTGTTTCCTCAGAAAATAACTCTCTAGCACCTGGATCTGGCTGCTCAGACATTCCGTCCATTTTATCCAACAAGCAGTTTCTGGCTTGGGGAGGGGTCCCTCTGGGCAGAACACAGTAAGTATGCACGTAGCAGCCTCTGCTGCGATCTTGCTGTTACCTCCCAGTGTGATTCCCCGCTGTGTTATGACCATGTTAATATTTTTAGAATTGAATAAAGCTGTCTTATCGTCCTTAATCTTCCTGTCATGAATTCAAAATTTTTAATTTAAATTTCCACCTGTTTTTAAATGCAATCTAAAAACATAGGTTTCAATTTTCTTATGCTTTTTGGCGAATTCCTTGCTGATTTCCAAATGTAGGCAATTAAGAGTATCTTTGTTTCTTCTCTGGAAAGCACTATGAAAAGGTAGGAAGACATTCTTTTTAAGGAATTTACAGATTAGTTAGTGAATGCTTTGTACTGTAGAGTGAAGGGTATAAGGGGTCTCTAATAGAATAGATATATTCTCTTATAGGTTAATGTGAATTCCATCTCTAATTTTATTTTTATATTTATTTTGATTACACATTATGGATAACTGACTAATAAAATTAATTGGCATATAACATGTAGTATGTATAGTAATATTTTCCCTTCCTGAGTTTAGCAACATAAATTTTTTTTACCAATCTCATATCAGTAAAAATTCTAATTAATAACCTAATTTAGGTAATTATTAAACCTAAATGTTTACTCTTTTGTAATTTTACACTTTTGTGTTTATCCTAAATGTTTTACCTATACATTTCTATGGTACCTGAGAGATAAAGTTCTGGCTGAATCTGCTACAGATGTGAACAAATTACTTCTTTAAAATTACAGTTTTGTCAGTGCAAAAAGGATCTAATAGAACTTCCTTACTTTAAATATATTTTTATTGATTTTAGAGAGGAAGGGAGAGAGAGAGAGAGAGAGAAACATCAGTGATGTGAGAGAATTATTGATTGGCTGCCTCCTGCATGCCCCCCACTGGGATGAGCCCACAACCCAGGCATGTGCCCTGACCAGAAATCAAACTGTGACCTCCTGGTTCATAGGTCGATGGTCAACCACTGAGCCATATTGACTGGGCTAAACCTCCTTACTTTATAGAGTTCATACCTCTGCTTAATCATTCATGTAGACATCTGTACTTATTTTGTTCCAAAAACAGTTTTCCAAAGGACACAGTGACATAAAAACAGTTAAGTGAGAAATTACTTCTGTGGGAAATTGAAGCAGTCATCATAAAGGTGGCCCTTGAGGTCTCGATGGGAGACTGTGCACTTGCCTTAATGTGAGTTTTGGGCTTGTTTCTGACACAAGTCACAGTATTCAGAGGTTAAGAGCAAAGCAGATACTATGTGAGAGAGCATAGCCATTCCTACTACAGACTTTAGAGAGATGTTTCTTCCAGGGGTCCTTTAAAAGAGAAAGTTGTATAATATAGTGAATCTCAAGGAAAAACAATTTCACAGCGAATACTGCATCAGGATGCTCCCCCTGTGACTAGACGTGCCACCCCTGAACCCCCAAGTGAAGGCATTCTCCGGGTGCTGAGCATGTGGCGGTTTGATTTAGAAATCCCTTGGGCACCTGGAAGAATGTGCAGACTGCATGTTCTTTAAGCAGCTCTCTGTAAGGTTTCTCTCAGCTATAGACTTTTCAGAATCCTGAGTGACAGTGGGTATGAGGTACTATGCCCTCTTCAGTAGTTCCTGTGTTGTTGGTTATAGGTGCCATGTGTTTTTTGAAGCCAGTTAAGGGGGATTCCGGATTGACACTGATGTTGAAAGGAAGGTCTGAACAAGGACATGTGCCTATAGAGAAGGTTTTTCCTATTTGTACAGTTGAACCTGAACAGTGTTTAAATGCCAAAATTTTTCTCAAAACATTAATCTGCAGTTGCTCTAGTACTTGTACAGATAGTTGATTGAGACCTTTAAGTCTGTGCTGTGCAAGGTGGCCAAAGTAATGAAGCTGGTCAGCTCAGCCATTAATGTCCAAGTTAAAAAGAAGGGGAAAATTAGCGCCAGTCTGCCCTAGCAATCACAGCTTTTCTTACAGCTGCTCTTGTCCATTAAGTCAAAGGCAGAAGAAAGTCATTAAGAGCCATCATCATCCTTGTGTTTCTGACAGAATTTCCTACTTTATGATAGAATTTATAATGAATGATTAATGTGGTAGAGATGGCTGTGCTTAAAATTCAGCCGCTTCTCAGATGCCATACCATCCTGAAATCTCCCCTCTTAGCTAAAACAAAATTAACATGTGCTATACTTTTTAAATCAGAAATTACATTAGTTAAGTTGAAAGCAGAGGCGCTGTTTTGATGCGCTTTTGGACTTGTCAGCAGCATTTTCCCTCAGCCTTTTCCTATGTGAAGGGCCTTCAGGCTGTCCGTTACTTGACTTCATTTCCTCATGGAGATTCACAGAGTTCTTCTAATCTAACAGATGTATGAGTAAGTCACATGCCAGTGCAGGGAACTAACCCAAAAAGCCTCTTGTATCCCCAATTTACAGGAGTTGATTAGGTTCTTAACTCAGCCCGGAGGAGCTTGCCAATCCTGTGAGAATAACTCTACTTTAGTTGATGATGCACCACCTGGATGGTTAAAAGTGGGCTTTTGTGAAAGTAACAATTCCAAAGCATTAAATGGATGTATTTAGTGCAGCGCCTAGCTAAATTATAGATTTGTGTTTCTTTATTTCTCCTCAGCCCCTGTCTTGATGTCCTGCAAAGAACAATAATTTTTCCCATCACAGACAGCTCCTGCTACTCCTCTGTAAATGTTGCAGCTGAGTTCTGCTTAGAAAATAATCTTATTTTCTTTTCCACCATGAAGTGTTCCAGGAGGCAGACAGAGGCTGTGTCTCAATAGTTACTAAGAGAGGACTTCTAAAAATGGATGGGAGATGATGCTGCCCTACTGGGTGCTCTTCCTGCGAGATACTTGCCTTGTAGAAGAATGTGCTTGTTGGAAAAGGGAGATCTGAAGTGAGCTCTTCATCCAAGAAAGGAGAAAATTTAAATAATTTGGGGGGCAATATTCTCATGAGTTAATAGGTTTTTGCCTCAGATAATTAATAAAATTATATTTTCTGTGGGTAAAGTGGTCCACCTTGTTATTTTATTCCAACTTGATATTTTTAGATTTCTAAAGTTCTGTAGTTTTCCATATTTTATTTGCTCTTTCTAGTTTCTTATAAGTCTGCTTACATACTTTAGTTATTTGTTGGTTAGGATTTTAACATTTTTTTTCTTATTTGTGTACAATCTTTATATAATAAAGGTGTTAACCCTTTGATTTTTATACAGCTCCGTTTAAAAATTAGACACTGAACCCCCCCTTAATAGCTCTGCTATTTGAAAATGATAACTTTTTTTAAAACAAAAAAAGTAAATAAAATTAAAACTTTTTAATGATTTTTTTTTTCAGGTAAGTCTTTCCTAGTGATTGTACGTGTGGAAGGCTTTTCTTGGGTTTGCTGATAGTCAAAGGTCTTAGATTTTATTCTGAGATAAAGTTCTGCTGCCTTCCCTTTGAACGCAGAGGGGACAAGACATAGATCACAGCTTAAATAATTTAAATGCCAATCTTTAAACTTTGAGAAAAATAGAGATTTACTCATGTATTTATTCTCCAGCGACAAGAGGTTTCATGTACTTTCAAAGATTTTCTTCCACTCAGCCAGCTGTTATTCATATGTCCATTCTACTTGCATTGTAACTTTTTAAAAGTAAGGTGAATTCAATGTACTGTTTAAAAGACTTTTGTGCAAATGAGCCTCTTAGAGTGAAAAACTTGGGCAGTTTGCCAGGGACCCCTTGTTTACTTGAAAGCGTGGTAATCAGTCATCTCTAAACAAATTGGTTTTGGCTTTGTTTTTTATAATTGTAGCAATACCCATGGAGGAAAACCACATTTAAAATGTGTAATTGTTTTTAGGCTTCAGAAACTAGCTTTAAGAAATAATTCTACGTCCACAACCCAACACTTGCGACTGCTAATTAGAGGACAAGACCAGGACTGCTTTCAGGTGTGTAGAGTGCTTGGTTCTGTTCTGTTCTATGTTCTGTCTGATCCAGAACACTTAACTATGCAGACTATTGTGTGTAGTCTGCAGAGTGTGTGTCAATGGTATGTTTTATTTTTCTACTGCTTTGCTTTATGCAGTGATTATTTTTAAATTGTAGCTTCAGCACACTTTTGGTTCAGAAGAGCGATTAACTAGTAACTGTGAGATCAAAATTCGTCCAAAAGAAGACATTACCATCTTTGTATTGTTTACACCTACTCGATTATCTTGTATGTTGGCTAAACTAGAAATTAAACAACTTGGAATTCGATCACAGCCAGGTATTAAGTTCACGGTAAGATCATTTTTATTGCTTCTTTTTCCTCCTGTGGAATTTATAACATGTTATAACTATTGATTTAATAGTAAATTATACATACTCTGATTTTTTACAAATCAGAATATTATTGCCTAAATTTATGAATTAGGGATTAATTATGTATATTTAGAATTGTCAGGTTATAAAAGCAGCCACCATAGCATTCTTTTTAGTAACAATCTCTTCTAATGCTTTTAAGTTTAATTTCAGTTTGAGAATTTTGAGCTATACCTAACTTTCCAAGGACACATTTTTTTGGAAATGCAGATCAAACTGTTTGATACTGTCTTCCCAAGTAAATTTTATTCATTCGATTAAAATTATCTATTGACATCATTTGCTAGACTCTCTTTCAGATACTAGGAATAAAAAGACGGGAGTTTTTGTGTGTTTTTTTAAGCTATATATTTTAAAAATATATATTTTATTGATTTTTTACAGAGAGGAAGGGAGAGGGATAGAGAGTTAGAAACATCGATGAGAGAGAAACATTGGATCAGCTGCCTCCTGCACACCCCCTACTGCGTATGTGCCCGCAACAAAATAAGGAGCTGACACAGCTGCAAGACAGGAGTTTCTATATTTTATTTCCTCCCATCGTAATTTTTAAAAATGATCTCAAGTCATTTCTTTAGGTGCATTGAAAACACTAAGAGATAAAAGTGCGAAATCATGGAGGGAAGGAAAATAACCTCAAGCCTCACTGAAGTGCGCACCTTACAACTGCACCGTTGTTTGGCAGCGGGGCTGGGGCTAGAATTAGGTTCATTCCTAGTGTCAAAGAGGGAATGTGATAAATTACAAGAATAATAATACCTAAAAGGTTGTGGGTTTTTGTTTTTTTTTAAGTTTTTAAAATAAAATAGATACTTAGGACATATCTAGCTTTATTTGATGCTGGAGCTAGACATGTTCTCTCCGAGTCTTCACTTGGCCCTGTGAGCTATGGTGGGCAAAATTGTTTAAAGATGTAAATGATCATTTTTAGAGCTAACCTATTTACACATGAGCCCAGTCAGTGCATCTTTTAGACTACCCTGAATATATTTTAATTAGTTTCAGGTCTACTGGCCAAGATTTTGAGATCATTCCTAAGCAGGAATTTCTGGTGCTTTAAGGCAGAACCATTTTATTTGACAGCCAATCAAACAGAAGTTCAGCTTGGTGTTCTCTTAAGACAAACTAGGATCCTAGTGGGAGTCCTAGCAGAGGTAGATTACGCCTTCTGTCTTCACTGAGAGTTGGGCTGAATGGGACCTGAATGCACAAAATGTGGCTCTTATCTCACAAGAAGACTTAGACCATTAACTTTGTGTCTTTGTGGAGATAAGTAGCCTGATACAGTGATGGAAGAGCACTTAACTCAGGGATGAAAGAATCAGGAACACCCCTGCGTCTGTGCTTCTCACTCACCCTGAAGCAGTCATTGAACTTGCACATGCTTCATTCCCTTATCCGAAATGCAATTAATTGTCACCCCAACTTCCTGGTTTGGTTCTGGGGAACAAATGAAATTATATATGCTTTGTATACAGCATGATGGGACTACAGTAAAAATGTGTTGATTTTACTCTGAGTATATGCCAGGCACTACTCTTGATCATTATATGGATCACCACATTTTACTTCAGAACAACTGTCTGAGATCATACCACTGTCTCCATCCTACACACAGGGAAGCTGAGGCCTAGAGATGCCTTCCTGTGCATCTTACCCACTGCTATGTGGTCCAGGACAGATTCACATTTAGGCTACCTGACTTGAGAGCACATGTTTATCTGTTGGACAGGCTCTCGGTGTTCAGACTAGCTTTCCGTTTTCTAGTGCTGTAGAGCAGCAAAGCTCAACCAGAGGAATATTTGGCAATTTCTGGAGAGATTTTTGGTTGTCATAACTTGGACGGGAAGGGGTGCTTCTGGCATCTGGTGGCCAGTGGCCAGGGATGCAGCTCAACACCCTATAATGCGCAAGACAGCCCTCACCATAATGAGTGATCCAAATCAAAATGCCTACAGTGCTGAGGTTAGAAACCCTGCTCTAGAGCAATAATAGTTTTTCCTGTTGAATCTTTGGATTTATTAGTATTAGTTAGATTTCATTTTATTTAATCATTCTTCTTAACCCTTTATTCTGTAATTATTTGTAATTCCTTAGGCTTTGAAAATACAGGAAGAATGCTTACATTGAGTGTTTGAAAACTAATAGGGTTCCCCCCAAAACATGTTCATTTAAAAAATTCAGAATACTGGAATCTTAAAAGAATTATACAGTAGACCCAACATACTTTACCACTTAGGTGCTATAATTAATGTTTTGCTGTATTTTTTATTACATATTTAACCATCCGTAAATTCATCTAATTTTTAAGTGCATTTCAAAGTAAATTACAAACATCAATATGTTTCACTCTAAACACTTCTAAGTAAGCATATCTATACTATGCTAATTTTTATTATCTAAGTTTGGCTTTTATAACAATGAAATAATTATTCTTAGTATATTAAAAGGAAAATAATTTTGTAGCTCTGTGATATGTTTTTCTTTTAAGATAGCGTCTTTAATATAATGCTGGACTGGAAGTGGGACAACTACTAGCCAAAGTACACAAAGAATAATAATTGTAATTGTAGTAATTCTAGTATATGTATTTTCTTCTCTGATGATAATTTAATCTTCTGCTTTCTGCTTATATAACAATAATTTTGAACACACACAGACACACATACACATGTATAAATATATATTTTTTTGCACTTACAGATACCTTTGTCTGGATATGGAGGAACAAGTAATCTTATTTTGGAAGACGTTAAAAAATTATCTGACAGTTACATGGTAACAGTGAATGACTTAATACCTGGCAAAGAAAGTAGAATTGTTTTTTCTATTCGTAACACTGGCTCTCGGGCAGCTTTTGTAAAAGCTATAGGTTTTAAGGATTCTCAGAAAAGAGTTTTCTTGGATCCTAAAGTATTAAAGATTTTCCCAGATAAATTTGTTCTCAAGGAAAAAACACAAGAAGTAAGTTTTGCACTAAAAATATAAACTCACTTTTAGGTTAAATTAATAGTTGTGTATTTTATGGCTAAAAACTAAAAAAATTGAAATATATATAGGAATAGAAATACAGTAAAACCTCAGTATAATAGACTAATTTGGGCATGGGGGTATCTGTTAAAGCCAAATGTCTACTATGTAATAAAGTAGATTTTCTGAATGCATATTTTAAAAAATAGTTTCCCTGCTTTTACTTATGTAGACACTTGCTGTGTAATTAAAATTAAGTATGTATGAATAGTTCAATTTTACAGAAAAGTTTTTAAAAAAATACATTTTATTGATTTTTTTACAGAGAGGAAGGGAGAGGGATAGAGAGTTAGAAACATCGATCAGCTGCCTCCTGCACACTCCCCACTGGGGATGTGCCCGCAACCAAGGTACATGGCCCTTGGCCGGAATCGAACCCAGGACCCTTCAGTCCACAGGCTGACGCTCTATCCACTGAGGCAAACTGGTTAGGGCAAGAACAGTTTTTTTTATGTAATACATACTGTAATTTTAAATTTATACTGACTATATCTAGTAAATGCATGCATTCACCAGTCACTGCAAGTAAATGTACATGCCTGAGGCATGGCTTATCACACCTGGAAGTATGGGAGGCCTGAGTTAAAACTGCTGTAGAAAGTCATACCACTGTAGAAACCAATTACCTTGCCTTGTGGTGCGATCACATGCTAATCTTTCAACCATTGTTTACGAGCGGTGACTCTTAGATTTAAATATGTAGGCTGTAATTGTAGATATGTAATGTTTATTTATGTCTGCAAAGTATTTTTTTCAACATATGGCCTGTTTGTTAAAAATAATTAATGACAAAAAAATAACCTATTAATTATAAGCAAATCTTGGTTAAAAGCTTTCTCAAATTAACAGGGTGTTAAGTTTCACATATAACATATGGACTGGAAATTTTGTCTATTAAATCTGATGTTAAATTGAGGTCTGCAGAATCAAGTGTTACTGTACTTATCTTCTTGGAAATGCTGTACATACATATTCATGTCTATATTGATACTAGGCTCGTATTAGAGTTTATTAAGAATGAAATAACTTACTAAAATATTTAATATTCAGTTTAATTTTTTTTTCTTGGTATCAGACTGTTACTATAATATATCATCCATCAGAGAGAGATAGCAATTACAAAACCACAACAGAATTGTCAACTGTGTACTTCTTTGGTGGAGATGAAATTTCACGACAGCAGTATCGAAGGTAGGTTACTTATCTTAGACTAGAGGGCTGGTGCATAAAAATTCGTGCACTTGGTGGTGTTCTCTCAGCCTAGCCTGCACGCTCTCACAATCTGGGATCCCTCGGGTAGAGTCCAGATCCATCTCAGCATGGCTCTGGTTCCCTGGGCCTGCGGGTGGGAGGAGGGACCAAGATTCCCAGATTGAAGCATGGCTCTGGTTAGATGGCAATATGGCTCTGGTTCCCCGGAGCCTGTAGGCGGGGGGGAGGAACTCAGAGGCCAGTTCAATGGCAGCTCGGCTCTGTTCGCACAGCTCCCTCCTGCTGCCGCACCACAGGCGGCCGGGACCCAGGACCGACTCCTGCCGTGGGCGGCCAGGACCCTAGCGTGGTGTTTGGTCATCCGTCCGGACGTTAGGTCATGACAGACCCAGGCTCTTTATATATTAGGATGTTAATGGGGATTGTTCAGTAGAAATAGTGAGGACTTAAATAATGGTTTGGGATTTGGAATTTATAGAACATGTTTCACTTGGTAAAATTTGTGTAGCTGATAAGAAGAAATGCCTGTAGGAAACTCATATGTATTCGCAATATTGTTTAAATACATCTGACTTATTTGGAATATTTCTGACAATGTTGTGAATTATTTGAAAGGAATTTTAGAAATGTGTGCGATGTTTAATATGGCTAACTACTTAAAGTGTGCACTTCTAGAAAATTTGGTACATCTAGTTTACATATAGTTTACATATGCTGAAATGTCAGATTGAGGTATTTAAGTTTAGGTATTATTTAACATAGGTAACATTCTTGTATGCTGAATTCAGAGTTCTTATAAAATTTTGTTTCCTAAATTAGAAGACTAAATATTAAAAAAGTGTGAAGTTCATAATGTTTCATCTGTTAGTAGGAAATCATTAACACCCAGTAGGGAAGGGGTATATGCCTATATACTGTCTTTTCTTCTTCCATCCCTTGTGCTCTGCTGTGTTTTATTCTGGGGCATAATTTAGAAAATTTTGTTTTATTTTTAATCTGTTGAAGATTATGGAAGGTTAAAAAGAGAGAGCATAGTGATAAATTGCTGCATGATGTTAGACCCAATTTGAAGAACTCAACTTTGAACCTGGTATTTTTAATTAAGTATTTTAGAGAAACTGACATTGGAGAAATTAGATTACCAGCTTTTTTTTCTTTCCACTGGAATATAGAAGTCAAGGTATTGTTTTATTTATTTATTTATTTTATTTTTATTGATTTCAGAGTGGAAGGGAGAAGGATAGAGAAATAGAAACATCTATGTTGAGAGAGAATCACCAACTGGCTGCCTCCTGTGCGCCCCACACTGGGAATCAAGCCTGCAACCCAGGGATATGCCCTTGGCTGGAATCGAACCTGGGACCCTTCAGTCCACAGGCACTACCCACTGAGCCAAACCAGCTAGGGCTATTTATTTATTTTTAATTTATTGTGAGAGAGAGAGAGAGAGAGAGAGAGAGAGAGAGAGATTGTTCTACCCATTTATGCATACATTGATTGATTCTT